GAAACCCTCACCATCTCACACCCCAATCTGTTCCATCCATCCACAGATCTGTGGGCAGATAATGTTTCCATGCTGGGTAAGATCTGTCCTTTACCCTGCTCTCACCCTCCCCATCCTTTCCAACCACGAATTACTGGACAGGGGGGTTTTAAACACATCCTCCCACAAGCCCAGCATTTTTTCACTGACTGTCCCCGATCAACATCGTCTTTAGAGCATATAATACCAGGCATTCTGCTTCCCAGCCACTCCTTTGACCCTAGTGAAATTACTCCAGTTTAGCATGGCTGTAGATCAAAGAGCCGAGTTTAGCCTCTCATTGATCAGATGTGGTTAAACCAGCTGTCTCTGAAAAGTAGAACTCAAGGCAAAATTAGAGTCCTAGTGATTGTGTGGTTTTGCACTGAGAAATACACACAAGCCGCTGTTGGAAAGCGAAATAGGAAGTCCCAATAGAAAGAGGTTTAGAGGAATGCAATGTATACCATTATCGGACTCGAACCAGGGTATTCACATCTCCCTGCTTGTGGACAAGCCCAAGCAAGTTTGTGTAAGCAACACAGCCCTCTGGAAAGAATCTGCGAGGCAGGGCGAGGGACTGCAACACTGTACTAAACATGCCCAGAGATTCCACCCCAAAGAACAGATCTTTTCCATTGTCAAAACCACACCGGTTTAGAAATTGCAATGGCACATACTAGACTCCCAGTCCAATAACGGCGAGGAGTCCTGTGGCACCTTATAGACTAACCGAAGTGTTGGAGCATAAGCTTTTGTGGGCAAAGACCCACTTCACATGCATCTGATGAAGTGGGTCTTTGCCCACGAAAGCTTATGCTCCAACACTTCAATTAGTCTATAAGGTGCCACAGGACTCCTCGCCGTTATTGGACTGGGAGTCTAGTATGTGCCATTGCAATTTCTAAACCGGTGTGGTTTTGACAATGGAAAAGATCTGTTCTTTGGGGTGGAATCTCTGGGCATGTTTAGTACAGTGTTGCAGTCCCTCGCCCTGCCTCGCAGATTCTTTCCAGAGGGCTGTGTTGCTTACACAAACTTGCTTGGGCTTGTCCACAAGCAGGGAGATGTGAATACCCTGGTTTTTGTTCCTGAGGGAGTCAGAGAAAGAATTGAATGTTTTTTAATTAATGAGTTTGGAAGTTCAATCAGAACCAGAGGGTACAGGTAAATAGGAAATGCATGTCATACAAATACATAATAGTAAGAACAAAAGAAAGCAAAGCAAAAATGATAGGTGGGAAGTTGACATATAGGGTAACTACTTGTGCAACATAATCTTCAGCTGGGGACTGGTACAAACTGGTGTTTATAACAGGCACCCATGTGTAAGACTACACAACTGCACATACTAAAACACATGCACAATGTTACCTATATAAGCAATCCCATTGAAGGCAATGGAACTACTCACTAGTTACTTACATATTCCCGGCGTTGCAGGATCAGGGCCTTTTGCAGTTATGATACCAGATTCTGTTTTCCCGCCTTCTATTGAAGTAGCAGAATTCTGCCACCCTAAGTTACATAGAGTAGCTCTGTGAGAGGCCCAGTTCATTTCAGTGAGGATGATCTGCATGGGTAAGGATGACAGAACCCGTCCCTCGGGGTTTTGTAATAAGAGGGTTTTGTCAAACCCATTTCCTTGTGCTTTGTAATACAAAGATGAGTAAATGCTTTTTTCTGGGATTTTTTTCCTGCCACAGACCCTTTGGAGTTTATGCTGGGCAACATGGGAATTCAACTAAAAGTGAAAGGGACCAGTTCATGGATCCTATACTCCCTAAATGAAATGCAGAAGGTACATTCCACATTTAGAATTCTTTTAGCTATGATGAAAGGGAGGTTTAGGTTGGACATTAGGAAAAACTTCCTAACTGTCAGGGTGGTTAAACACTGGAATAAATTGCCTAGGGAGATTGTGGAATCTCCAACACTGGAGATATTTAATGGACAGACACCTGTCAGGTATGATCTAGATGGTACTTGGCTCTGCCATGAGGGCAGGGGACTGGACTTGATGATCTCTCAAGGTCCCTTCTAGTTCTAGGACTCCATGAACTCTAAGGTGTTAGCCTGAACATGGGGCAGGAATTTTTTTTAAAAACATCAGTCAATATATAGTTAAGTTTCTCAGTTAAGCATCTGAGTACAAGTCAGGACTTCTGCCTCCTTTTGAGCAAAGTAATGCTACAGGGCATGAGATGCTGGTCAGTTCTCTATGTAGGGAACTGATTACATGGAGAGCTTCATAGATTGAGGGCCAGAAAACCCCCATTGTTGTCTCATCTGACATTCTGTATATCACAAGCCTAAAAACTCTCCCAAAATAATTCTTAGGGCAGATCTTTAAACAACAACGACACTCCCAATCTTGATTTAAAAGTTCTCAGTGATGGAAAATCCACCCTGTCCCATGGTAAGTTGTTGCAATGATCAGTTACTGTCACTTAAAATGTACATGTGATTTCCTCTCTGAAGATGGTCTATGGCAATACGGCCAACCTTCTGTCATTATTAATTTCGTAAACAGCCTTGCAGAACTTCTGGGAAGTTCATTTACTAAGGCAGAATTGTATTAATTAAACCCACAATAATTGCCCCCCCCACAACAATACGATATTTTAAAATCAATACTCTTCTTTATAGGCTGGGATTAAAATAGGTATGCTTTCCCTAAAAGCAGGCAAGCCATTTAACAGACAGCTGCGACTGTCTGGGCTTAATGGTGGATGGGAATTGAATCTCTTGACCCTGACTTCTTCACCACTTTCTTCATTACCAGGCAGGTCATGGCTCCAGATATTAATGCACCAGAACCAAACACCATGTGGGGATAAGGTGTGGGGGGAGGAAAGATCCGTTTATCCCACCAAATAAGGACAATGAGAACTCTATCTGAGGTTAACTAGGAATCCAGTTTTATGGCACTAGTTTGAATGTGGTAACATGCTGATTTGCATTATACACAGCACACTGTTCTTTTCCATGTTAGCCAGTGTGGAAAGGGAAAGAAGTAACATTAGAGAGGTCCTGTCAAGAAGGCCCATTTAAAGAACCAAATCTTGTTACGTCTGGTTCGTATAGCGAGGGGAAAGCTTGCGACAGTTTGATCTGCTGAAGCTTAATATGTCTTTGTATAAACTATTTCAGCCTTTGACTGGTTTTGAGAGAAGTTAAAAAAAAAATTGGCAGAGCTCCCAGTTTCATGGAGGGGAGGTTAACTAAAAATGAAACCCTATCCCGATGCCAGCTTGTCTGTCCCTCTGATTCATGGATTCGTTCTTTTTTCTCTTTGCACGTAAAAAAAAAAAGAAAGAAAATGGATTGCAATGAATGGGTGTTTGGTTTGGGTTGCAAGTGCTCCACAGTGTTTCCACTACTAGCCATGCATCAGAACTCACACTGTAAAGGTGCCTTTCATATGCTGTAGCAGTGCCAAGGCCAGGCAGGGATCAGCCACTTAGATCTGGGCACACCTAAACTCTGTTTTCACGCTAACCTCCGAGAATGCACGTTCAAAGCTGTGGTGTGACTGGGACTCCCAAAGAGAAATCCAACCTGCTTCAGTCCGTGAGAAGCTTCTTTCAGACACCGGTTGTGTACTTAAAGCTAAGAGTCACTGGCATGCTTCAAATTGGATTTCCTTTCAGATAATTTGAGTATTCCACACACATGTTTCAAAGTCAGGGGAGTTTCAGCTGATACTTTCACTCATTACAAAGCAGGCAGTGTTGAGCCAGGGTGACAGGACTTGACTAGTGCTCAAGAGAGCTGGGTTCTCATCCCAGCCCTGCTGCTATCCCGCTAGGCAACAACAAGCAAGTTGTTTCATCCCTCTGTGCCTCAATGTCTCCACCTTTAAAATATGGAGAATGGTACCTGCCTCTTTTGACAGTGCTTTGATGTTTTAGAACAGAAGAACAGCCAGACTGGGTCAGACCCATGGTCCATCTAGCCCAGTATCCTGTCTGCCAACAGTTACCAGTGCTAGATGTTTTAGGGGGTATGAACATAACAGGAGAGCTTTGGAGAAAGACACTCCTTTCTTGTTGTCTTAGCTTCTAGCATGCACAAGCATGGGGTTACATCCCTGACCATCTTGACTAATATCCATGGATGGAGCTAGCCTCAGTCGCCGTGTTTAGTCCGTTTTTGAACCCAGTAACACTTTTAACCATACTCTGGCAATGAGTTCCACAGTTTAATTTTGTGAAAAAGTATTTCCTTTCATTTGCCTTAAAGCAAATTGATTTAAGCAGGTGTCCCCTGGTTTTTAATACTGTGGGAAAGGGTAAATACTTTCCCTATACTATTTATGATTTTATAAACCTCTATCAGATCCCCCATTAATCTTTGTTTTCTGGAAGCAGAACTGTCCTGGTCTTTTTAGTCTCTCCTTACATGGAGGTTATTCCATATCTTTCATCATCTTTGTTGCCTTTCTCTGAACCTTTTACAGCTCCACTGTAGCTTTTCTCAGACAGGATGACAAAAAACAGCACATAAGAGCCCGGTATTATTGTTATTATTTGTCTCAGAAAGGTAGCCGTGTTAGGCTGTAACTTTAAAAACAACGACTAGTCCTATTATAAATTCTGGGTTTCTGTTGTCCCTCTTCAGCTCATCTTAGGAAGTGGATTTTGCTCACGAAAGCCCATGATCCTATATATTAGTTGCTACGGGGGTACCTGCACTGAACCCTTACTATGAAATAAGCTATGCAAATTGTGCAGCTTATTTTGAGGTGATTTTGAAATCGCTTATTTTGAAATCTAGTACTGTCTACACAGTGCCAAATTTCAAAATAACCCGCTATTCCGAAACGTCCCTTAACCCTCATGGAACAAGGTTGACAGGGACATCAGAATAGAGAACCCGTTATATTTCAAAATAATGGGCTCACTCAAAATACGTGGAATAGCTATTTCAGGATACTTCCGATATCTCAAAATAGCTCCGCAGTGTAAACGTAGCCTAAGGGGCCCCAGGACTACTCATTGTTATTATTTGAAAATGCTGATTTCAGATGCATTGGCTGTACATCACTCTGTGGAGCTCCTCATGAGAGGATCTCATAGCATATTACAGGCCCACTCCACATTCTGTTGATGTAGACTGCAAAAGTACAGACTCCAGTGGGACCCGAAGATCTGGCGCTGGTCCTGTGCCTTTCATCTGGCTTTCCTGAGGTCACATACGCAGCCAGCTAGGAACCTGGAAAACAGGACTTCTGATTCCAGCCTCCTGCTCTGAGCACTGCACATCACAGACTCATTTGTTCTGTGTTCGTACAACGCCTAGCACAAAGGTTTGGGGCTCCTACGTTCTAGTTCTTTTGGGTGGGAATTGTTTCCTCATTACAAGGTTGCAGAAATGTCTGGCACAACGGACCTGGGGTCATTAGACCCCACGGCCATAAAAATAAGTCACTCCCCAACGAGGAAGCTGTAAGGTATCTGGGGAATTCTACCATTAGACTGCAGCTGGGGTTCCATATTGTCCTCAGTCAGTACAGCTGAATAGTAAAACCAAACAAAACCCTCTTGGGCTAATTTCCTGCTCATAAGTTCAGCTGTGATATTGAAAACCGTGGGAAAAAATGCTATTCACGTTATGGGAAAAAAAGAAAACAAACTAGGATCTTTCCAATTTCCTGCCCATGAATTCAGTAGCAATGCCAAGGAACTGCAGCAAGATGGGGCCATGAAAATAGGGACAGAGAAGAATTCATATGTGGAGGTTTTGCACATGACTTGGGGAAGTGCAGCTTGTGTAGCTATTTATTCCTGCAGGTTTTGATGCAGGGTGTGAATGTTGGGGAAATCGCCAGTATCTTCGGACGTGTTTCAGTCCTAGCCAAAAAAAATCTGCAAACTCTAGAAAAGTTACACTCACCTAGTTGTGAATATCAGCCAAAAAGATGTGGAAACCATGCAATGGAAAGAGCTGATACATTCCACATATACCCACAGTTTTTATCCTATAAAAGGGGGAGCCTTTTACCATTGTAAATCATCCTTCTCAGCATCCCCATCCTTTTGGACCTTGGCCCTAGAAACGAGCCAGGTAAAGAAGATGCGTAGCTAATACAGAGCCTGATGCTCCACTGTTTTCACCTGGCCAAGTTGTTTTACACTTGTGCAAAATGGGTGAAACGTGCTGCCAAATCAGAGTTCTCCACACTCAGAAGGGATTTTCCACTTTGCACGGGTGTAAATGGTGATACAAGGTGTAAGACAGTGAACAGGCCGAAGGCTGATCTTAATGAACTGCTAGTCAAGTGTAACTTCATTGCAATCAAGCATTCCCATGGTGAAAACAAGGTCTGGGTCATGGTGTGTAGCCTGAAAACTCTAGAAGCACTTGTAATCTAATGTTGTGTGTTTTAATTATTCTTGGGTAAAGCAGGCTGTTTCTAAATATTTTGTGGAAAAGAATGTGTATTTTTTAATCTATTGTTAATCAGCAAATATCATCGGCTAGTGGTTAATGGCTGCTCCCACCTCTGGACATAACATCAAACTTTAGAATTGGGTGCGGTGCTTGGGTTCCTATTACACAGCAGTTTCATGTTTCTTGTGTGAGTGTCTCACAAGAGCAGAACTCACAATGGAAGTGACAAAGTGCAGCCCTTCTATTTTTACATCCTGTCTCAGGCTGAGTCCTGTTGTGGTAACCATGTGTCATGTGTGCAAAATGCCCCGCTGTGACATACACCCAGGCCTGTTCTCGTCAATGAACATGTGAATTCTTCTTTCAGTTAGCAGTGTTTGTTATCCATCTAGAGGTGCCCTCTCCAGACATTGTGTCTCAGAAGAAAATGCAATGCTAGCACCAAAACGTGTACAGCTACTGGTGGGCCCACGCTAATGTGGGAGCGCTGATGGTAAATGAGGAGAAGAAATAAGTTCTTGCTAGTCTCCAGAACCCTGTCCTACAGTGAGCGCTAGAGAGGAAGGAAGAACGATCCATTGCTTAGGGCAGTCATCTGTGAAGACCCATGATCATTTCCCTGTTCCCTGCACGAGCTTCGTGGGTGACTTTGGGCAAGTCATTTAGTTGCTCAGTGCCTCAGTTTCCCCTCTAAAATAATAGTCCAGCCTCACCTCTCAGGCATGTTGTGAGCAAAAATACATTCCGGATTGTGAGGGGCTCTGATACTGTGGTGATGGGGGGGCCACTGAAGATTCTGAGATAGACAGAGAGGGTCTCAGACCTCATTGTTATGCACATGAAAAAATGAGGAAGAATGGCTCTTGCACAAGAGAAGGTTTTTGCGCAAAAAGGAGCCATCTACATAGCTCCTTTTTGTGCAAAAGCCTATTGTGCAAAAACGGCCCCTAATTAATTATGCAAATGAAGCAAATCAATATGCTAATCCATGCTTCATTTGCATAGGCTTTTGCACAAGAAGGAAGCAATATAGACATAGCCCAGGAGTCCCAGTCATAGATGAGGATCCCACTGTGTTAGGCACTGGAGCGGACATACTTTTGGGGGGAAATGTTGGGAGGGAGGGAATTTCAAAGAGACAACAAACTTTATTTTTGTTTTCCCCCCACTTTCATCACTTCTTCAGTAATATTGAGGCTGGGGAGGAATTAGAAAGGGCCACCTTCAATTGGAGGTAAGAATACACCTGATTTTGCAGTGAAGACACCCCATGCACCTATGACCCTGTCTCCAATCTTTTCTTTGACGTTCACCCTTCCCTCCACTCAGTAGCTGAAGCCAATGTACCTGCTCTGTGGCAGTGTCGGCTATATGCTAATGTTTTGCAAGAGGAACCAGAAGTAGCCCCTTGTGGTATTTTTTTACTTGAGAGGTAAATAAGGAAAGTCCTGTCACCCAGCAATGAGACTTTCCAAAGGCAGGAGGAGCCCAGCTAAGCTCTATACGTCCCAATGTGTCTTGCTACGAGAGCAGGGTCAATAATTGTGACATGCTGAGAGCCAAGAGGCCTGCTCATTTGAACACAAAAGACCTGCATAGGGGTAAATTGAGACACAGGCAGAAAGCTGAGTCAGCCAGTCCATTGGCGCCATTCGCTGTAGGTCACAGAAAGGTGGCGTGTAGCTGAGCCATCTGATGTCAGCCTTTAAATTCCTGTGACTCAGGGAAGAACCTTGGTGGATCGTCTTAGGCGGAGGTGAGATTAGACCCCTTTGGCCAAATTCATTGCCGTGTTGTAGTCTCCAGAGAATTCCCTGACAGACCTAGATTTGACACGGCGGGCTGTGTATTCTCCGTGATAGAGTTGTGTCTGGGAGGGATGTTCCCATACTCCAGCTGTTCCCAGCTTCTGCAGTAGCTCACAAGGTGCGTTTTAGCCTGGGCACAATTTATGCCACCCTCAACAGCTCAAGCAGCCCCTTGCAGGTTCAACATAGGAAACATTTGTCCTACTTTGCTCCTCTACCTCACTTTGAGGCTGTGCTCTGCTCAGAAGCAGAGATGATTTGGCTCTTTTGAGACTCAGACGTCCTTGCTATAGTTAAAAGTCCATGTAGCCATCTGTGGTGTGTCCAGGAACCTTTTTCTTCAGTGTTGCACCTGGCTCAGGCAGCAGGAAGGAACTCTGCTGATTTCCCGCTGCTTGTAGATGCTTCAATCTAGTGGGGGAGGAAAGCAATTAAAGACTTTGTTTGCTATTTATTCCTGAGATAGATCTGAGGGACTGTGTCTAGTCTGTTTCGCTTTGAAAGCCCAGAGCCTTGAGTGAAATACATGTCCTTGGGGAAGCAGTAGATGGTTTTGGAATCACACCAAGCCTGCTACCTACATTCGGGGCCCTAAACCAGAACCCGAGCGGCAGGAAAGGAGGCAGAGTAGAGGGGCAAATCCTGCTGATCTCCAAAGGAATTAAAAATTAACCTTGTGCCCTTGCTCTCTTCTTTATAATGAATACCAAAGACCTGAAAATTAGTTCTTTTTTATCTGTTTCTTGACTGTTAACGTTTGATTTATTTTTTTGACTAGAAGTTTAGATCTTGTCTGCCCTGAAAGGGTCAGTGGGAATTGGGGAACAAGAAAATACGATGATTTCTCAAGAACCAAGAGAGAGAAAGTGAAGCAACCGAAAGAGACATTTTAGTCAAACTATTGACAGCTGGTTGGTTGGTTGTTGTTAATGCTTATTTAATGAGTTGCTAACTTTTTGAATAAAGAACACCTTAGTTAAAGAATCATCCCCTCTCCTCCACTTCCTTCAAATTAGCTGTTATCTTACAGTTAGCATCATCAAGGGCTCTTAGAGTTTCTCCTGTCAAACCAAGGGCCAAAAGATTTGAAATGCTCAATATTTGCAGGATAAACACAAGCAGAAACAGAACGACCTTTCCATGCTTTCTGTGTCCATCACAAGGCAACAAAACAAGACATAACCCCAACATAAAAAAAAAATCCTCCTCAAACCACCCTTAAAATAAACTCCCTCTGATGACCTGAGGTAAAAGAATCCAGGCTCGTGAAAGATTAATTTCATTAGCGTTCTAAAGGAAAACAGAGAAACTATCTGATCAGCTCAGCAGTTCTAAAGTCATTTTCATCTCTTATTTCATTCTGTTTCAACACCAAATGGTGTTTGTTGCTGGCTTTGTTGCCTATCAACCTAATTATTAAGAGCTGCCACTTCACTTCCTCCTTTCCTCTTCCTGCAACAACTTCCTCTCACAACACCTCTTCTACCTAAGCGCTGGACATCTGTCATCCTCCTCATTATCCCAAACACACCCCGAGCTCTTCTCTTCACGTCTCTCCAGTCAGCTGCAGTCTGTAATGTGTTATCTGTTCTTTTTTTATTCTTTCCCTCCCGGTCATCATCAAAATATTGTCGTAGTCCTGGGCAACCCGGATGTGGAGATGAGCTAGAAATACAAACAGCTCTGGCTCAAGGGACTTAGCTGGATTTGAGTTCCAGAGCTATCTTGTGAATTCAGGCACTAGTCAAGATATGTTAGCTCCCAAAATGTTGAACAGATATTTTTGTAAGTGAGAAATGACAGATGAAGTTCCCATTTTTCATGCTTTTCTGGCCCAGTCCATTAAAAGGCAAGTACAGGAACACTCGGGGATTAGGGCATTCCAGTTATCTAAAAATTCCGGTTATCTGAGGGTCCCATCAACCTAGGAAAAATCAATGGACAATAATAGCAAAATTCAAGTTTTTAATATTGGTAGTTTTGTAGTGTGAGGCAGTTGATCTAACATTTCTATTTGAGTTAAAGATGATTAGTACTTCTTAAATAAAAAATTGGTAAGCCAATCATGGTCAACCAAGCCAGGCCTGTGCGCCTGAAGATGTGACAG